GAGAGAGAGAGAGAGAGAGAGAGAGAGAGAGAGAGAGAGAGAGAGAGAGAGAGAGAGAGAGAGAGAGAGAGAGAGTTAGTTCAAGGGGGAGTCAGATTGCTGCCAAGGGGAAACAGAAGAGGCAAAGAATGAGAAAATTAAGTTGCAGAAGGATCAGGTAGCCGTAACCTCCTAACAGTAACAGAGCAGGACCTCAGCCTGACACCATAAAACATGTAACTGCAGTTATTGTTCTGGTTATAGCCTGGGGAGAGAGAGAGAGAGAGAGAGAGAGAGAGAGAGAGAGAGAGAGAGAGAGAGAGAGTCTCCTTTCTTGTGTGTGTGTGGGGGGGGGTTCAAATAACCCCATAAGTTGACACATATGTCAAAATATCCCTTTAGAGATGGGCACAGTGGAATGGCCTTTTGGGCTGAAATGTTTGTGTTATGCCCCTGTCAGGACGGTGTGCAAATTCGCTTGGCTTTTTGCAGTTGCGCCTTCGAAAACTTGGCAACTGTCGGGGCATTTTGCAAAGTTGGGCAGCGTCCGGTACGGGTACATTGCCAAGATGGAGTCCAACTGATGGCTGGGGTGTTTCACAAAATGTTTTTGCCATCGTCCTTCGCTGAGGCGGGTCCACTTGTATATCTTAAAAGTTAAAGCGGTCCTCCCGTTAGGCTCGCCCCACGCCCAGGAAAAAACGGGTGTGGAGTTCCGCGTGCGGTGCCGCGGTGTCGGGCAGCTCCAGCCTTACGCTGCCCTTTACTTCCTTGAAGATAACACTTGGAGGATACCAGATTTACCAAATTTACCAGGAAGGGCCTGGCTGACATCGAGGGATTGTGATATCAGGTTCATGCCGCGGGTATCAGGGACGACGCGTCAAGGTGAAAGCGGACGACAAAGGATGGGTGAGCATTCTTTTATGGACACTGTAGAAAACCGTCGCGCCCAAGGTATGAAAGCATGACGGATGTGGAAGAGAACGCCAGAGGCTCCGAGCAAGGCACAGGAGTGAAGAGGCCAGACTTATGGGAAAAAGTCGAGCAATGGGCCAATCAAAAAGGGGGCGTCGAGCTCTAGGGCGAAACCTCAGGCGAACTAAGCGGCTGTTGACACCGGCGTTCATCAAGGG